ATATGTCTGACTTGCGATTTCTTTGAGAGCGTTGGTAAGACCAATCGTTAAGGGGATAACCGAGCTTCCACTAACATACTTCTGTCCGCTCATCTCTCTTGTCACTTCTTCACATGGTTGTAACACTACTACCAAAGACTGGCAAATGTCCCATTCATATGTAGTAAGATTAATCAAATTGCCAGTGTCTAAATTACTCAAAGCACATTTGATTTCGTCTTTCAGTTCGACAAACCTCTCTATCATGTAAAATGTGGAGTTCCACCTTGTAGCGACATCTTGAATTGGCCTCTTCACTACTTTATTGGCCTGCTCCTGGTACTTTTTTAATTTATTCCAGGCTAAATTACTTCTTTTGAAGTAGGATACTATGGCTTTTACTTTGCCTATTATGCTATTTACGTTTGAGTGGGATAACACTTTTTGTACTGCTAGGTTAAGTGTGTGTGCATAACAGCCAAAATGTCTCCATTCTAATTGAAGTATGGCATTTTTTATATTAGCCCCGTTGTCCGACACTACAAGGAGGACCTTATCTAAAATGTTCCAATCTTGAGCCACATTTCTTAATTCTTGTGCTATATGAAGTGCCGTGTGACTGCTCTCAAATACTTTACATTCCAGTAAAACCGACTGAAGGATAAAATTTTTATCTACGTAATGACCCGTAACGGCTAGGTAAGAATCATTATTTCGTGACGTCCACATATCGGTCGTTAAACATACACTTTTTGCATCTTCATTTAAAGCTGTTTTTGTATTTATCTTTATTTCTTCATATAGCCCCGGCAATAAATTATTGGCGAAATACTTTCGTGATGGTATTGTATAATTTGGGAAAGCAAAATTTATTAATTCGCGAAATCCTTTGTCTTCTACTATTGAAAAAAGGCTGTAAGTCCCATATGAACAAATTCATTAAATGATCATCAATTTGTTTTTTTTATTTTTGACAATCGCGCCGAAGGAATGCTGTAATACTGGATGGGTTCGGATTGGACCTTATCGTATTAGATGCGATAGTTTGTATAGCAGTATTGACTGCCGTAATTTGTGCAGTTTGTGAAGTATCGCCTGTACCTCTTGTTCTTCTTGACGATCCACTTGTTGTTCCCTTCTCACTAAGTTAACGGAAATATGTTTTCTTTGTACATGCTTGGTAAGGTTTGACACTCCTGATTTGTATGAGATAATGACTTTGCACATTTTGCATTCAGCTTTATTTTCACCTTTGTCCACAAAATGATCCCAAGCCAAACTTTTCTTTGGAGCCATGGTTTGTGACTATATTATTATTTAGCACAAGTTTCTACCTATCTAACTATGTATTTTAACTATTATCTAATAACGAAAACACAGTTTTATTTACACTCTATTACCTATTTAGAGTTCAAAAATCGTCTGTCCATTAAACTCATGAAACTAAACTAAACACAGAATTTAAAAAAAAACAGTTTTATACATCTATACACTCACTATTAATAGTTCGAAAATTGTCTTTAAATTCAATAAACTTCGGAAAAAATATTTGTAACTTAACTATTATCTAATGACGAAATCACAGTTTTATTTACACTCTATTACCTATTTCGAGTTCAAAAATTGTCGGTCCTTTAAACTCGCGAAACTGAACTAAACACAGTATTAAAAAATAACAGTTTTATACATTTATACACTCACTAATTTATATTATATAATAAATCGAAAATTGACTTTAAAATCAATAAACTCCCGAAAAATTGCTTGTAATTTAGGTCACGGTTAGTCGTTGACGTAACAAGCTCGCACTCAAATCACAACTGACAAAAAATAAAAAAACGGAAACTAAACTATTACTTGAAATAAACAAACTTTAAGTGGCACATAAGTATATTTTTTAAAACAATACTTTTGTACACGCAATTATGTGTCTTTTTGTGTATAGACATAAGAATGAATAGCGTGAACTAGTCAAAAGAAAGAGTAAAGTTACGATTATTGAATGTTAATACAATTATGTTCCTTATTTTGATCAGTATATGACGGTTATTTGTAAACGAAGGGCTCACGGCAAAATACTAAAATACTTGCATAGGAAATTGACTCGTGTTACTTTAAGAATAAAGACCATAATCGTCTCAGTGAAAAATACTTGCAAGTTTCACGTATTTTTTGTTGCAAATACGATTCTGCTTCTTATTTGTATAATAAGATGGATCGATTTCCTATGCAAGTATTTTCTCGCCCGATAGCACAGCAAATACTTTCATACTTGCAAGTATTTCTTCCGTACCAGGGCGCCGTCCTTCGAAGCAAAGCCCTGGTTTACAAACCTGGTATGGTAATACGTCTCACTCCTAGTACATACTAACACTCCTATCGTCCACATTTCATCCGTCAGAAAATACGTGACGTCTGGCGGCCCTGGGATCTTGGACCATAAACCTAATTTGAAATTCTATGCATACGCGGGATTTGGTATATTAGTTAGCACATCTACCATCAGGCAGCGTTAGTGCGCTACAATGCAGTGTTAACTACTCAACTCTATATTCTACATATTATGTGACGTAGAGTCCGCGCCACCGAAGTCCCTTAGGTGCGGCGCTGTCAGTGTATAGCAAAATGTTACAAAGTAACATAAATAATAAATTATCTTCATTTACTTACCCATACATTACTTTCGATCAATAAAAGTTTTACAAGAAATTATAATTTTCGTTCTCGCGTAGAGGGTCCTCATTATATTAGGATTTTAAACAATAAACCGTTTCTAATAAATTGTATGAAATCACTGTAATGTGGACCATCCATGTTTCCGCACTCAGACCCCCATTTAGTACGTTGTGTATATTTATATATATCTACTACCCGGCAAACGTTGTTTTGCCATGTATATTATTTCTAAGAAACATTTTTTTAGTTTAATAAAAATATCTACTATCACAAAAAGGGGTTGATCGTATGTATTTTTGTATGCTGTAAATGTTCATAAAAAAATAAACCCAAAAATTTTGTCTAAAAAATAATATTTTTTTTAGGTGTGGACCACCCTCAACATTTATAGGGATGCAAAATAGGTGTTGTCCGATTCGCAGATCTAACCGATATGCACACAAAATTTCACGAAAATCGGTCGAGCCATTTAATTACAAACACCGTGACACGAGAATTTTATATACCTACTGGCGGACCCCACAGACGTTGTCCTGCATGATATTTCATTAGGATATCAAACAAAGTATGGAAGTACCGACTGCAGCGCCATCTGCCGGGCTGATTTTTTAATCTAAGCCATCCAGGGCTCCATCAAAAAAATCATTCAGATCGGTCCAGCCGTTTCAGAGGAGTTCAGTGACATACACACATATAGTATAATTATATATATATGTAAGCTATCCTAGCTTTTAAGTTAGATCAATCTGCAAATGGTGTGCAAATTTGATTGAAATCAGTTAAGTAGTTTAGGAGTCTATAGCGGACAAGCACCGTGACGCGTAATTTATATATATTAAGATTAGATTATACTAACTTCGGTAGTTTAAGGCCAACGACATTGCACGCAATACAAGCGATCATTCTATCTCCTGCTCACTCTCATTTAATTATTTATCAATATAAACAAAATATGCATGTCTCTGTTAGGTAAATATTATAGGATCTAGAATTTTATATATTTCATTTGTTTCTCCTACCTTCAAATGAAAGATGAATTTGTATAACTATTTTATATTTATTAACCAGTGGTTGATGTGGGGCATAGTCCACAAATACTAAGATACCAAGTTGTGAGTAAAATTTAGAAAGAACGTCATCAGAAAAAACTATTGTAATAAATTAAGGATATTTTTGTAGTTATTTATAAATTGTGAACTTGAAAAAATCTCTACACATATGAAAAAGGTTACACAGAAATGGAATGGAAAATACAATTATACCAATAATTATTACATTTACTGCATGTATTGAATAATACAGAGCTAATATCAGATTTTAATTCAATATAAATAATTTGACATATAATTAAAAGGAAGTTGACTTGCTAACACCATCTAAATCAAGGTGAGTCGCCTTAAGACAATGGATAACTATTGTATTTATTTTTTAACTAAACAAAAACCATAATTGTCATATGAAATTAGTTAAAAGAAAGTTATCTACACTATAAATATATAATTAAAGTGAACATAATGTCAATTCTAGTGCCTAGTTGCACTTCTTATTAAAATAAACACTATAATCTAATAACTTAACTATTATAGTTTTTTACGTCCTATATAATTTTACAAATAGGATAATAAGATCAAACAAAAGCCACATTTAGGGAACATAAATAAAAATTTACAAAAAAATACCTATGTATGAATTAATGTAATAATCTTTCTAATTAAGGTTTAGGTTTTTTCTTAGTATATTAATAGTATGTAGGTACCAATATATGTCAATAACACTTATTAATACTGGCCCATTAGATGTCACAAATAATATATAGAATTGATTGTTGAATGTAACATGTAATTTAAACACACAAATAGACAACATATAATATCCAACATCAAAGGACAATATTCTTATATTATAGAACTATAATTAAAAGAATGATATGTGAGTGGACCAGTTTCTTGTCTTCAAAAGAAAATAGTTTTTTTATATATTTAGACAGGGTACTAATCACAAAATAGGTGCTTTAATGTTAAAAATGCATGACAATGAGTTACATTTATTTTATATGCTAGATATTCATATTTTACTAATTAATTTAAAGTGAAAATGTGCAACATAATATATTGTGAGTACAATACACATTTAAAATTATATTCATAGTATAAGATACAATTATAGCAAATATGAGGTTGTAGTGCATTAGTTGAAAAACTGAAAAAGGATCTAAAATTTTTATTTTAACTCAAAAAAATTACATGGATCTATGTAATTTTTTTTAGCACATATATGTAACAAACAGATGTGATAAAATTCTACCTTATAATATTATCATGACTCTCAAGGGGACAAGTTAAAAATTATTGTGATGTCTTATAATCTAAGGGCAATAAGCCTTTTTTGTCCTTTACATTTTGAAGGTTGGGATGTGTTTCAAGCAGCATATTTACTAAATCTTCTCGTTTATACTCCACAGCTTTATGCAGTATAGTTTTTCCATCGTCATCTATCAAATCAGTTTTAGCTCCAGACTCTATGAGAAATTTTACAGTTGACAGTTTGCCTGAAAAATTATGTACACTAAATAAACATGTACTGAATTATGATGGTTTAGCTGTGAAGCTCTTATGGAGCCGTTATGAAGCTGCAGATTACATATTCCATGTTTCACATTTAAAACATTCAAAAGTTTAAAATTTTGTCAAGTGACCTACCAGTAGCTACAGCTTTATGTAAAGGTGTAGCTTTTCCACTCTTTGTTTGGACATCAAGAATTGCTCCATATCCAAGAAGAAGCTTACAAATATCTAAATGACCATTTCTTGCTGCATAGTGCAAAGCAGTATAGCCAGCATTATCTGGTACATTCACAGTTTCTGTAATGTTTCTACTTTTATTTATCAATTCTGTTATCCTATCCTTATCTCCAGAAAATGCTGAAAAAGTGCAGTTTAATGTGTAAAAACTTGAATGAGTTAAAATTTTATAAAATTGTTTAATTATTTAAATTATATACCTGCATTCCAAATTCCCCTCTCCCAATCCATTTCAGATAGAGTTTGACAAACTGATTTGTTAGCATTTGTTATATGACAATCATGATTACAGTGGCTGCCCTCCATTTATTGTTGTTAAAAATTACTCATAAAATACAAATATTTAGTAAAAATAATTATATATCTCTCTGAAGAGTCCAGATGATTTCTGCCTCACCTGTACTCGTCACCACTTTATATCCCAGCTGGCTGAGTGAATTAATCAATTCCAGAACATTGGTTTTCATAGCAACACCATTCACAACATTACCAGAACCTGGATATTTTTTTGTCAAAGCCTTAATTTCTTCTGAACCTAAACCAAACACAGAGCAATCATTTGCATGAATGGAACCTTTGACAGCAATGTATACTACTCCGTCTTCAGACATTGGAATATTTGGTAAATTGGTGCCTGATACATTTTGACTGCCTTTAGTATCCATATTTATTACACTTCGTCGTCCTTATTAGAATGATGAAAGTGCATAGCCTCTTTGCTAAAATTTGTGATGTTATCTTGCTCAACAATTATAGATGGTTCTGGCTCTGAAAATTCCTTTCTCATAGTCCACATATATTCATTATAGTCTTGCTTTACAGCAGTTGAACTTGAAGCTACTACTTTGTACCCTAATACCTAAAAATTTGCAGTGTAAAAATGTTTGCAACATTTTATTTAATGTTTACACAATATTAAACAAAGCACTTACCTCTAAAGCACTGAGTATTACGCAAGGATGTTGTAAATAAACAATAGTGGAATTGTCGCTATATCCCCCACAAGCAAATCGATTCAACTGATCTAAATCTTCGGCTATAAAAACAAGTAAAGGAGTGTTAAATGTTTTAAACTCAAAACAAATTAGCACACTGTTTCTACGCGTGAATACAAGGTTGATGATGCGTTTACAAGACTCAGTCTGACGACGTATGTATAATCAGATAACAGAATTTAAATAGCTACCTTTCAGGCCAGATACCAAAACACGCCAGGGATTTTTGTGGCCATACGAAGCTAAATTACCTCTTATCAATATGTAGGGCATTGATTACGGATGATTTTTTATGTTTCTGTGTTGAATAAATACAAGTTTTGAAAAAAATCAATGAGAATGGTTTAATCTAATTAAAAAGGTATGTTATTAAATTTACAGTTTGCCAATGCCAGTTAGATAATAAACTATTAATAATTATTAATGTTTATAAAAATACAGAATGCTTAATGACGAACCAAAATCGGCCGAGGTAGACAGTTGTTATAACTTATATGGTAACACAGTTGACAAGCTGTCACTGAGTCAACAGGCTACATATAATGAATGACAGGGACATAACCGAAAACAGATTAGGTAAGGCCTAATAATTATGGTTATTTTTTGTTGGTAGCCGATAACTGGCACGATGCTTTAGACCTTTTTATTATAAACGGCACGTAAGTCTAGCGCTGGCCGATACGTGGAGGGGATTGCTGCGCATGTGTACTGTCGCGCACGCCATACATTATATGCCTCAAATATACATAATAATACAAATATATATGTAGTATATGGCTCAAATTTACAATGTTGCTGTCCGAATGACTGAACAAAGTATTTGTAGCTTCGTCAATCTCACTTTGGATTTGTTTCAAAGAATCAATTAATTCGTTAGATTCCCTTTTTAAAAAACAATTCACGTCATAAACCATTTTCCTGGCTTGTCTTTTCAAAACAGTATTTGTTCTAGGCATATTCACTTTAAAGTCACAAACAAACTTAAAAACAAATAACAAAACGCTAACAAATTCAAACGTAACAAAAAACAACAAAACGTAACAACAGTAACAATAATATTAATGACGCGACTGTACACGGGATATGCGCGGGGCGTCGTATCGGTGCGGGGGACGGAATGCGACTGGAGAGCCAATCGACGCTACGCGCCCCCTCAGGTACCTTATTTTTTACTTCTGCGCAATAACGGTCAGCGCTAGAGTTTCGTGCCGCTACTTGTAGCTATAATTCTTTTATGTTTTTGTATTTACAAAAAGGAAAATCATATGGACATGGTCACATTCGATTTCAAAAAGATTAACTTTTCGAGTCTTTTTACCGTAAGATGTAATAAATTAATTATAAAATGTATTATTATTTTCTATGCATTTCCTAATGCGTAGAAAGGTGCAATTATTGTCGGGATTTACGTAGGTTGGCACAAGATTTCTTACGGAGTTATATTGAATACAAAATAACAACGAAAATAAAAAATAATATAATAAATAATAGCTTACTGAATCTCATGGCAAATAGTAAAATAAAAATTTGTTGTGGGCAATACTGGGGAAATTGGATTAAATAATCTTAATACTGTTTAATTTTTATTTATGTCTTTAGTATTAATGAACATGAAGTATATTAGTTATTTGTATGAAGAATGTTGTTATAGGTACATCGGGTTCTTAAGATAGGAAAATATGTCATGAAAAATAAATAAATCGTAAATAACTTTATGTACTAAAATATTACATATCACTTCAATCATACAAAATATAACTTAAAACCTCATTTAGAACTAGAAAACGATTCCAAGAACTCCACTTGCATTTCTTGTTCTACACCAGATGATGAAGATAAAGAGGTATTTATTATATATCGCTCTTCCAGCATTTCAATTATTGTATCTTGCTTGATGAAATCGTTGTCAATTTTCTTTACACGGTCACAACATGTTCAAACATACTCTGCACCAATGTGTGAGAAAGCTTCTTCTGTTGATAATTTTATGTCACTTCCAGCTCTATTTACATTTTTATCGGAAACTTTTTGCTTTATTATACCCCAAATCATTTCTATGGGATTCAATGTGCAATGATAAGGTGGGAGTCTCAATACTTCATCTATCTCATATAAGGGCGCAGACATTTTGTTTCACTACTTCAAGTAGTTGACATTTACGCCAAACATTATCATAATGTAAATCATTTGCACGGAGCCATTCTTTTATATCAGCGATAGGATTGGCTTGGGTGGGCGGTTTGTTTATACGTACCGAATAATAACTAGCATTATCCATAACAATAATTAATAAAGGTCTTTTTAGATTTGGAATTAGCTTCTCCGTCACCAGTGGCGTAACTATACCATCTGGGGCCCGTAGCAAATTCTTTTGATGGGGCCCTATCAGTAAAACTCTTTAGGTTGTACTCAGTTTAATTTTACTCAATTACAAGTTGTATATCTCCCACTAATGGCCGTAGGCCTCCTATCTTAGGCGAGAGGGAATGGCCTGTAGTCCCCACGCTAGCCCAATGCGTATTGGAGACTTCACATTCATCCATAAAACATAATATCAATTGAGCACGGGCCCTCTTGGGTCGGGGGCCCGTGGCATTTTGCCAGCCCTGCCACCCAATTGTTACGCCACTGTCTGTCACCCATCAAGTAAAATTGTCTTTATTCGTATCGTGGTGGTAATCAGAAGATACACTTGTTGACCTGTGCACCAGACAAAAATTTGGTACAAAGCCAATTTCTCCACCAGCGTTTACAATGATCCACCTCGCTCCAAGTGAAATACTTTGCATTGCCAGCACTTATTCACAGAACATAAAAATAAAATAAATCGGTGGCGCTTCAACATGTTTTTTAGGTCTGGGCCTCAGGTTTCTGTATCTGTTTCATAATCATTTGTCAATCTAATAGGTAAGTTCAGCCTCCTGTGCCTGATACACGCTGTCAACCTTTGGGTCTAAGACATGACGGTTTCCTCACGATATTTTCCTTTATCGTTCGAGCGAATGTTACATGCGCACATAGACAGAAAGTCCATTGGTGCACATAATCGAACCTACGACCTCAAGGAAGAGAGTCACACGCCTCTAGGCCAACACTGCGCTAACATTTAATACGATAGAGAAATTAAAACACTTTACACTTGCAATAAAATCATTTAAGTGATATTTCGCTTGATATGGCTATCTGATACTTATCCATACATACACATTTTATTGAAGAGCTTAATTCTCTGATTTAGATAAATACATGAAATTTCAACTTAAATAGAAACACCTTGATGGTGGATGGAACAGTTTCTCCAACCTAAACCTCAAGGGAGGATCCTCGAGCAGTCTGCCGACCCGAAGACCCCTGTGATCCCCCCCCCCTAAGATCGAAAAGTTGTATATTATATCGTTTGTGGTCGGAATAAATTGTTTCAGGGTATGAAGTCATCGTAGTTATAGCCGTAGAATCTAGGTGTCGCTACACTCCACTATGGTTACTTGAGAAATTAAAATGAAAAAAAATAGGGTTTTTAAACAGCGATTACTTATGGAATTCTTTTAGCATAAAGGATGTATATTTACACTCAATTGACAATTACAACTTCTAACAAAAAGACTGGGATTCTAAATCAATCGAGTTTTATTCAAACGAACACACTACAAGATGAAGTTTAATAAATTAATGATTATTTACCAGTTATTTTACTTCCTAACCCTTTTAAAGTTTTTTATATATACATACTACTTTAAAACATTTTTTTTTGTTAAATAGTCCTCTTTATTATATAAAACTACCATTTGGAAGGAACAACTAAAGTAATTTCTTTTTAAATAGACTTGTAATTTTGACTATCAAATAAATAAAATTAATTGCTGGCCTAGTTAAAATAAATGATTTGACTTTTTGACTTTGAAGAGAGTGTCTACGTCTGGCTATACTCTCGGGGCATAACTCTGACCATTTAGGTAATCATCACGCTTATATAACTAAGAAAGCCTGAGTGAGCAAAATATAGAGCCCAACCTAATTGTACCATATTACATATCCCTGCCGACTAAATCCCGATTTTGTTTTTGATGTGGTTTACGATCCGATATCGTCCTTGATTTTGTCTATTGACATATTGTTCAATAAACTATAAACCACAAAAGAATTTGTCAACTGAGATTAGCATAGATTAAAAATGTTTTCTATTATCTACGTACTCTATGTTCTTTACGGAATACACGATTAATATCATGCTTTGACTGAGTTACAATGCTAAATCCGCTAGATGTATTTTTTAGAACAATGAACTAGTTTCTAAATGAATGTTTTCTCAAATAAATCTGTTTACGGAACCACCAGCGTTGTTACTGTTTATTTAAGGTACATTGAGGTTAATGAGTTTTAAAAACAAAGTTTCTTCGTATTGTGAAACCATGGGATTTAAACAGTTTTGGTAAAAGTCTAGTTTTAGCTATCTCAAGAACTTTGATTTCTGTTAGTAAATAATGTCTTTGTAGATGGTAATAATAAAATTTCTATTCAACCAATAAATGTTAAATGTATAAATTTTCATATATATTTCTAGATAACATGTATCTTTGAAACTGATTTCATTTTTATTATTAACTAAAAACTCCTTATTAAGTGTAGCGGTTCTGTGTTTGTGGACGAATTATTTTAAAAATAGGGAGTATCTTTGTAAAAAATTCGGATCGCTAGTGTTGCAATAATTTTTTAAAATTATTATTTTAATTATGCGCTAAAAGTTGGGCTGAAAATAACTTTAAAAGTATTACACCATGACCGTTACTTAGTGACATTATGTTGCGATGTAGCTAACCGGCATTGCTCTCCTACTAACGCTTTATAATTAGGTTTCTGTAAAGATTTGTAATAATAAGTAAAAATTATTTATAAACAAACCAGACTCAGAATTAAAAGTAAGTGGAAGCGAGCAGATATTGTTTAAATGCAAATTTCCTTTGTTTCATACTAGTTTCAGCAGCCAAGTTGCAATGTGCTAATGTTCTTTGAACATAAAGATAACTACAGGACTCTTTAATGTTGTTAAAATAATAATGCTGGCACGTTTACATTACGAGTATATTATTGCACGTAATATGTAAATAATCGCGACAAACTAATGTCTCTGTAACATAGTTTTACGCATTAAATAGGTATCACGATCAAATATATATACTTGTATCGTACATTTTAAAATGAGTAGCAATTCCCCGACGCTTCCTTTGTAGGTTATATTGCTACGCTCGTAGCACTATAACAACATATTATATTGT